CCCGCAGAGACGTAAGTGCTGAATCACGTCACTGAGCATCGCAGCGCACGCGTGCGAGTGACGTCATGACGAGGCCGCAGAGACGGAAGCGCTGGGTCACCGCACTTAGTACCGCGGCGCATGCGCGTGAGTGAGTGATGTCATGTGGGGTGTCCCGCAGAGACGTAAGTGCTGAATCACGTCACTGAGCATCGCAGCGCACGCGAGTGACGTCATGACGAGGCCGCAGAGACGCAAGGGCTGGATCACAGCACTGAGTACCGCAGTGCATGTGCGTGAGTGAGTGACGTCAGGAGGGGGCCGCAGAGAGGGAGGCGCTGGATCACGTCATTGAGTACCACAGCGCATGTGCGTGAGTGACGTCATGAGGGGGCCGCAGAGACGGAAGCGCGGGGTCACAGCACTTAGTACGGCGCCTCACGCACTGAGTGAATGACGTCACGGGGGGCTGCAGAGACGGAAGCGTTGGTCCCCAGCCCCCAGAGGGCACGGTGCGAGGCTGGCTGCTGGCCCAGCAATCCCCTCGGGCTGCCGCGACCTCCCCCCAGGCCTGGGACCCCCTCCGAGGCCGCCACGCCACGGGCACTGCCACCCGCGCTCATCAAACCACATTCCAGGGCAGCCACCAACGGCACCGGGGAGGGGGAGGAGGCGGGCGGGCGTCCGGCCATCGGGACAAGCTGTCAGCTGGCCTGAGAAGGTGGCCGGGGGTGGGGGCTGGGGCTGAGAGCCGTGTGCCAAGGACCGAAGACGCTGAAATAAGGCGCCGAGAACAAGCCAGCCCGCAGAGGGACCGCAGGCGCGGGGGCCAGGCACGTGGCTCTCGGCTTCTCCCACGCGAGCTGGGAACCCGCGACGCACCCACGCACGTCACCGACACTAAGGTGCCGGGGGTGAAGACCGCCCAGGAATCATGCCTGGGACCTCCCCACCGAGAGTCCGTCCTGCCTGGGGGCGGACCACATCCTCCCTGGGGAAAGAGAGTGTTTAAATCGCAGTGGAAATCATTCTTTGTGTATGAGGACGGGGTTGCGGGTAGAAAGAGAGTTCCGGGGTGACACTTTAAACCTTTCTTTGGGTACCATAGGGAAAATGCACACGGGTATCAATTTATACTGTCCAAAATAGGTCGTCAATGCCTATTTTACCACATAATCGTCACACCTTTTTTTAAGTAACATCGATACAATAAAAAAAAAAACTTCACATCTTGGTTGCACCCCACTTTGAGGGGGTAACACCCAACACTGGGTCTGTGTTTTGGGGACCTAATGTGGTGCCAGGGATTAACCCAGGTTTGCCCCGTGCAAGTCCATACCGTGGTCTCTCCAGCCTGCATCCCACTCTACACACACTCACACAGACACACACCTGTCATCAGAACCACGGCAATTAGGCAGTGAAATGCGGCGGGAGTATGACTGTAGTAACTAAAATGCAATCATCTGTGTGTACGAATCTCAGAGGAAGCGCGCACGGAAGGAACTTCCTAATCAGGTGTGAGAGCCGGAGCTGCTGCTCTGATTTCGGGGTCTCCAAGGGCCCTCTGAATTCTATTATACACTCCACATTCCTGGAAGGGAGGCACTCTTAGCGGGGAAAGGACTTGGCTTTAAATAACACTGAATCACACCACGGGAGAGTTATTCCCTTTCCAGCCCTCTGGAATCCTGTCGAGGCAAGTGGAGAATTGAATCTCCGTGTGGGGCTAGCTGGGCTGTCCGCGCCTCCTGGTTCAACACAGGGACCAGGTGCTCCAGCGACCAGCCCTGGTTGCTCTGTGGCTTTTATTTCTTTGCGTTTTATTTCTGTGATGGTCTTCTGCTTAGGGCCATTGGCCTTGCTTCCCCGGGGTGCCATGAAAATCCCCTTTCTCGACCCTTCCCCCCCTTTTCCCTTCCCTGCGTTGCTGCTGTTGGAAGCGGGACTTGGCCACCTTTGAGATGTGGTGCAGTTTCAGTTTCATGGCAGTGCCTGGCTGCAGTGCACAGGAAGTGTTAAGACTGGCTGGGGGCTGGGGGGTGGGGCAGAGCTGGGGTTCGAACTCTCGGCCTCCTCCCTGCTAGGCAAGCACTTCGCTACCAGACTGTGTCCCTGGATCCCCTCTAGGTATCCTGTTCTGTGGAAAAAGTGAACCGGTTCAAAGGAAAACGGTCAGTACTCTCGTACGAGCTGGGGACCAGAACGGCGCTGGCATTACGAGCCAGTGAAGGAGCAGGTTTCGAACCTGGGTCTTCCCAGGCTGCCCTGGGTCCCCAGCTGCCCCCCTGTCCCGGGACAGTTCATGTCTGTCTTGGCAACGTGCAGGAGGAGGAAGGAACCTCCCGGCCCTCATCCTGTCCCATCTGGTTTAACCCAAAGCAGCCCTGAGTGCACGGCTCAGGTAAGGGGCCGCTGCCCCCAGCCCGGGTTCTCCAAGCCCCTATTCAGGTGAAAAGACACTGCAGGGGGGCTGAGGGGGACTCACCATGGCAGCCCCGGGCCTCTCCGGCCCCGTGTGCCTGAGACCTCCCTTGCCCAGACCTGTCCCAGCCCCGAGCAGGGGTTTTTCTCCCCCTTCGCTCCCATCTGCTGGATGCCGGAAAACGGAAGAAAGCCGGGCTCACTGATTGATGTCCCAGAGGATGTGGTTCCTGCAGGGGACGTTTGCCCCTGTCGGTCTGGCCTCTGGGAAGCGTCCCGCGGCCCCGGGCTGGCAGTGGCCCAGGCAAGTTGCCCAGAGGGGCCGGAGAGCACTGGCTCGGGCTTCCCGCTCCCTACTGTCAAGGTGGCGGGGCTGAAGGGCCCTTTCTGTTTCTTTAGGCAGAAGATCAAGGCGAGACAGGGCCTCTGCACACCGCGGACGGGGTTAGGGAGCACCAGCCCGAGGGCATGTGGATTCGGCCTCGAACAGTGCACAGCCTGCTCCGTCCCCCACGCAATTCCCTGTAAATCCCTAGGCCAAGGTTCAGGAACTGCCGAGAGACCTGAGGCAAGTCCCTTTCCCTCTCTATGCCTCGGTTTCCGCCTCTGTAATCAACAGGACCACGTGCCTGCAGTTCCCTTCCGGCTCTGAAGGGCTCGCACGGGGCAGGGCCGGCAGAGGGGGGAGGTCAGAAAGAAAGCTGTAGCTCGAGTATCTCCCTGAAGCCCAGGCCTCCGGGAGAGGGGCTGAGTTCCTGGGGACTTGGGGAATTCGAGCAGTCAGGGTGAAAGTCGTGCTGCACTGAAGGTGGATTTGGTGCCTCCAGCATGGCGGCTTTCAGGGTGCAGAGGACAGGACACACACACACACGTACACACACATACACACATATGCACACACGTACGTATGTACGCATATACGCACACACACATAAACATACACAGATACACATACACACATACACATACGAACATATGCACACACATGCATACACACATACATACTCATGCACACACGCAATACACACACATATGCACACACACATATACACACAACACATACACAGATACACATACACATATGCACACATACACACATACGCACACACTTGCATACACACATACTCACATATGCACACACACGCATACACATATGCACACATACATACACATATACGCACACATACACATACAACACATACACAGATACACATACACACATATATACATAGACACATACACACAATACACACATACACACACTACACATACACAGATACACACATATACACATACACACATAGGCACACACACATATACACATATGCATATATACACATACATACACACATACAAACATACAACACACATACACATATACATATACGCATACACACATACACACAGATAGACACACACACACACACACACACACACACCCCACTTCCAAATTCAAAGGGTCTCTCCAGTGGAGTTGGCATTCACACCTTTCTCCAGCAAACAAACGCTTTCATTCCAGAAAGTGCTCAGGAACAAGCGGAGATGGGCGGTGGAGGAAGGGGGGACCACGTAAAAAATTCAAGAGGCTCAGCCCCAGGAGCCAGCTGGCCTCACCTCTCCACCAGCAACAGCTCATGTTAATTGCAAATCCCTCTTATCTATTCATTACCGTGGGGCCCCTCGGGACTCGGGGCGCCCGCTGCGGAGGGCTGGGTTAAGTGCCTGCACAAAGAGTCAAGGCAAAGGATGCTCTTAAAAATCACCACCTTTCTGGCGTGTTATTAATTCAGATCAAATGCCCCCAAAGCGGCACCAACTGTCCAGCAGCTGAGCCACCCGCACGGTGTCCACGGAATGGAAGATTCGTGCACGGTTCTCTGGGGGGGGGTGGAGAATCCGACAGGGCCCCCACTCATTCTCGGGGCGGCAGGGAGCAGCCCCCCCCCCCCCGCTCCCCCGTGTTTCCACTCACTTGAAAGGAGAGGGAGCCAAAAAAGAAAAAAGAAAGAAAGAAAGAAAATTATCTCGGATATAGCTCTCAAAGACTCCTGTTGAGCAATTTAGCTCAGGGCACCCTCAGCCCTTTAAGCTGTTTCAATAAATTGTCTTTTCTCGTTCCCTTGACTTGGAGTGTATGTTTACACAATGGAAAGGTTTCCATCTCAATTTAGGGTATTTTCCTGATGGTGAAAGATATTTAGTTTGGCCCAATTCCAGCTCCTTCCTTCTTGGCGATTTTGCCAGAGGACAGCGATAAAGTCACCTACCTAAGAGACGCCTGTCCCGCAGATCACAGAAATGCACGTGCTGATCCCACGTCTCACCTGACACCTCACGCCCGGCAGCCCCGGACATCCGCCCCCCCTCACCATTCCAAAGGCCTTGAAGCATCAGCAGAAATCCCATTGCAGGGATGAAGCCCCCAGGGATCAGAGAGGGAAGGCCACCTTCCCAGAGTCACAGAGCCACACCCCCAGGTTGACAAAGTGAACGGAGGGTCCCCACTGCACCCGGGGCCTAACCCGCCTTCAGGTCCAGGAACCCCCACCCCCTCCCCCGCCCTGGCCCCGCCAGAGAGAAGAGAAATTTCACGGTACCTTTCCGCGTCCGGGTCGGCGCCCTGCTGCTTGCTCTCGAAGGCGTTGAAGCTGCTCATGTCCACGTAGCCGTCGTTCTCGTTGGCGGCCGACAGGGCTCGGCTCTGCTCCTCGAACAGCTTGGTGAAGGTGCCGGCCCGCGCGGGCCTCCGCGGCGGAATCTGGATGTTCTCGTAGTCCGAGTTCATGGCCGGGATGTTCTCGTAGTCGGAGGTGTCGGCGTTGGGGAAGGAGATGGAGCGGGGCTTGGTGAGGGGCAGGGGCAGGAAGGGGGGCCGGGAGCGGTCCTCGAAGGACTCCACCCGGGACACGGTCCTGCTGAAGGGGACGCCTTTCCGCTTGCCGTCCCGGCAGAAGATCAGGGACGAGGGCGAGTCGCAGGCCCGCAGCTTGCCGGCCCGCGCCTTGAGCTGCGGGGAGCTCCCCAGGCTGCCGCGGTCCAGCTCCAGGAGGCGCGAGGGCCCGTGGTAGCTGGACTCGGACGAGGACCGGGACGAGGAGCCGGGTGCGTCGCCGTGCCCTTTGCTCTCCGACTTCTTCTTGAAGGTGAGCGCCAGGAAGCGCTTGAACGAGGACTTCTTCTTCTTGGCCTGCTTGTCCGAGGGGTCGCTGCCGATCAGCAGGGAGGGCGAGCTCTTGGTGATGGGCTTCTTGGTGATGCAGGCCAGGTCGAAGGGCGGGGGGATGTCCACCACGGACGAGGGGGTGGACGTGCCGCTGGACGGGAGGTGGTTCCGCTGGGAGAAGCTGCCCGACGAGCCGATGACGCAGGGCAGAGACAGGTTGTCCTCCTTGCGCTGCATCCAGCGCTCGTCCAGGCTGCAGCCCTCGGGCTCCCGGAAGGCCGAGACCGGGAGCTCCCGGCCCTCCACGGACAGCGAGCGCGGGTACAGAGGGAAGGGCCTGGGCTTGGCAGGCAGCGCCCGGCCCGCTTCCGCCGGCGGCTTCCCCTCCGCGGGCAGGATGGGCCTCCTGGCCTCCTCGGGGCCGCCTCGGAGGCCCAGGCCCGACAAGGCAGCCTCCGGCCCCGATTCTTCCGGGACGGTTTCCGGGACGCAGCCGGCCAGCTTCCCGGAGTGCGGCCGGGCCCGCGTCATGATGTTCTTCCTGTCGAGGGGGGCCAGGCTGCCCTCGGCATCCGAGTTCGCGTCTTCTTTTCCACCCGGGGCGCCGGCCCAGGCCCCGGGCTGCTCGGGGGTGGCTGGCTCGGGTGCGCCCATCTCGTAGGGGTTGCTGAGAGCGTCGGGGGTCTCGGGCACGAGCACCACGTCAGGGACCGGGGGGCCCTCCGCAGCGCCACCCTGCAGGGACACACACGCGGTATCAGCCCCGGGGTCCCGCCTGGCCCCAGCCCCGCACGCCACGGGCGGGCAGCAGCTGTCACTGCAGAAGGACGTGCTCTCGGTGGGGAGGAAGGGGTAGGGGCTTCCGGGCAGTGCGGCCACCAGCTCGTCCAGACTGTCGCTCTCGAAAGGGACGATCTGGCAGCTGTCCTCTGCCGCTTCCTCCTCCAGGGTGTCCACGCCTTGGTGGGGGTCCTCTCCCGCCTCCTGGGAGTCCACAGCCAGCACTTCTGAGTCTGGCTTCTCCCCTTGCTCCAGGGCTTCCTCCTGGTCATTCTGCTGGTCAGTGCCAGGGGCACCTTCGTGTTCCTGCTCCTCGGACATCGCGGGGCAGTCTGTGGCCGTGGCTGGCTCCCACGCGGGGGGCTGCTCCTCGCCGACATCCCCCCCGGCAGCCTCCTCGGTGAGGCCATCGGAGCTCACGCACTCCAGTAGGTCTGGTTCTGCATCCACTTGGCCTTCCTCGAGGACCCCTTCCTCCTCCTCCTCCTGCTCCTCCTCCTTCTGCTCCTCCTGCTGCTCCCGCTCCTCCTCTTCCTCCTCCTCCTCCTCCCCCGCCTCCTCCTCCTTCTCCTCCTCTTCCTCCTTCTCCTCCTCCTCCAGGGGCATCTCAGGGGCCTGCTTCTCCTCTGCTAGAGCCTCTGCGTAGTTGTGAGCAAGAACGACTTCACCCCAGAATTCCTCTCCGTCCTGAGGGTCCCCGTCCTCCAGGTGCTGTGGGCTGTGCTGTCCTACCAGCTGCTCCTCTGTGCCGGGGTCACACACACCGTCCTCCTCCACCGGGGTCTCCTCCTCAGCGGGGTCTACGCCCCCGCCCTCGTCATCCTCTGCTCCCGGGGTCTCCTCCTCAGCGGGGTCTGCGCCCCCGCCCTCGTCATCCTCTGCCCCCGGGGTCTCCTGCTCAGCCGCCCCAGGGACGTCGTCCCCAGCAGGGCTGGGAGGCATCTCCCCCGCATTCTCTGCGGGGTCCTCGTCCCGGGGCTCGCAGTCCCTGAGCGGGGCCCCGGGGTCCCCGCCGCAGCCGCCACCCGCCTCGGCCTGGGCGTGCTCCTGCTCGGGCCGGTGGTCTTGGAACAGGCCCGCGTCCACACATAGCAGCCTCCCGTTGCTGCATTTGTTCAAGCTGCCGATCACGTACACGCTGGCCCGCCACTCGTGGGGGGCCGCCAGCCTGGGCTTCGGGGCAATGGGGGGCTTCGGGCCCCTGGACATGGAGTTGGGGCTGTGAAGACCCTCGGGCCGGGGTGACGCAGGGAACTTGGGCGTCGTCACGGGGGTGAAGGAACTGGCGGTCTTGGGTTTGGGAGCGACGGGTGGCTTTGGCGAATCTGAGGGATGAAAAGAAAAGGAAAGAAACGCAGAGGAGGGGAGAGTCAATCAGAGTCGCCTGGCGGCCGTTTTCCTCAAGTCTGTTCTGCTTTGTTTGGGGGGGCACAGCTGGCGGTGCTCGGGGCTCTGCACTAAGGGGTCACTTCTGCCGGTGCTCAGGGAGCCCCATGGGTGCCGGGGATCAAATGCCAGGTTGGCTGAGTCCAAGGCAAGCGCCCTCCCCGCTCTCTGCAGCCTACAGCCATGGGGGTGGGGGGCCTGTTTTCTGTTTCGTTTTTGGGATACAACAGTGCTCAGGGCTTACTCCTGACTCTGTGCTCAAGGGTCACTCCTGGAGAGCTCGAGGGACCATATGTGGTGTCGGGGACCAAACTCGGGCCAGCCAGGAGCAAGGCAAACGCCCTCCCCGCTGTCTGATGGCTCTGGCCTATCATTTTTGAGAGGACACTCACGGTGGTGGTTTCACAGCCCCTGGGACCCTGGTCTCCTGCCTTCAGAGACTCAAGCCCCCTGCACCCAGCAGCCCTGAAACCCCCCAACTCCTCCTGACATCTCTGCCAGAAACCGAGTGCGTCGACCTCCCTCGGTACCTGCATGGCACCCGGGCTCCCCAGGGATGGCTGAGCACATCCCAGCTCCCACCCACTCGTTCCCCAGGGACCCGCCAGGCAGCACTGTGTTACACACTAAGCGTTTCTCGTCTCCGGCTGAGGCCGGCAGGGCCACGGAGAGAAGGGGCCAGCTGCCAGGAGCACAGGGGAACGGAGCTGGAGAGTGTGACGGTGACGTCTGCCTCCTGCCGAGGTCACCCCTGCATTCATCACACGGCAGACAAGGCTAATGGCCCGGCGTCCAGACACCGCAGCAGAACAACACAGCGCCTGCCCGCATGCGCGTTGGCAAAGGGCCGTTTCCCGCCACACACGGGCGCCAAAGGAGCCTCAGAGGTCCCGCCCAAGGAAGGGGGTCGGGGGCGAGCTGGAATCCATCGGCAGGCCCTCCTGCCCCTCAGACGCGGTTAAATCCTGGTGGTAGTAGCGGCTAACCCCATCATCTCCAACCCAGAGCTGTCCAACAGAAAGCCGAAGGGGACCCCGTCTCTCACGGGTCTTTTTTTTTTTCTGTTTGGGTCACACCTGGTGATGCTCAGGGGTCACTCCTGGCTCTGTACTCAGGAATCACTCCTGTCTGTGCTCGGGGGACCCGATGGGATGCTGGGAATCGAACCCAGGTCAGCTGTGTGCAAGGCAAACGCCCTCCCCACTGTGCTATTGCTCCAGCCCCTCACAGGTCATTTTAAACTCCCATGGTCGCAGGACATTGCAAAGAGGCGAGGCAAATCGCCACAACGATACGTTTGTTTTCTTACTCAACTGGCCCCAAACGGGCTCACTCTGGGTAGCGCAGCCGGCAAGCCAGGGCTGGCTCCACACCAGCATCAGATACAACATTTAGCAGCCAGGCAGCTGGCATCTGTCCTGGAGGAAGTCCTCGCCCACTCAGCGTCCATCCAACAACTGAGAAATGGCCACAACGGGTGCACCCGGCAGCCACAGGTGGCTGGTGGCTGTGGGACCCGCAGGTGCACTTGGAACCAAGACCTCCCCGGGGCATGTCACCCCGCACCCCGATCCCAGCAGGTGTGAGGGCAGAGGCAGTATCACCCCCTCTGAGGCAGCCGAAAACCACGTCAAACGCAGCGGGGCCCCTCGCGTCCTCCTCCGGGGCCCCTCGCTGGTCAATGCCAGGGGAACCTTAGAGCCGCAGGAGCTGGTGGCTCAAGAGGCCTGAAGCCACAAGGAGTCCAGACCACAAATCCACACTCCCCGTTCCTCAGAGAACCAGGGAACCAGCGCCTCTTTATGTGGGAATCCAACGAACCCGGGACTCCAGCTTCCCAGGCTCGATTCAGTTCCACCAGGGCCGCTGACTGCGAGGCCAGGAGAAAGGAATCCAAGAAGGAGAGGCGAGGGCGGCCGCGCACCCCACCCCACGCCACCCACACCAGTTTCCTCTGAGGCCACGCAGCCAGGGCCAGGCACCCGCATGCAGGTGATAAGACACAGGCTCTCGACGCCTGCTTTCATAAGCAATCAAATATGTCCCCGCTTAGAAAAATGCGTCTGAATGAGTCAGAGTAAGTACGTTTGGGATTTGAAGGGCAAAGTTGGAGCCGTCGTGTGTGTGTGTGTGTGTGTGTGTGTGTGTGTGTGTGTGTGGTGGGGAGTGGTCAGAGTCAGTTATTGGGAAGCTGGCTGATCTGGGTTCGAATCCTGGCTTAGCCACTCCAAAGCAAGGAGGCTGGACCTCGGTTTCCTCATCTGTACAATGGGTCCAGCAGCACCTGCTCTCAAGCAGTGGGTTTGAGGACGGAGAGATAAAAAACACACAAAAGTCTAGGCGCTAACGGGCACAGGCCGCACGGAAGAGTCAGCCACTAGCTCCTGCGGCTCTAACAGCTCCGTCACTGCTGCCCCTCCCCAGCCCCCGGCTGCTCCTCCAGAATCCCACCCTCCACCCATAGGATCTGAGCATCTGCGGCCCCTCTCCACCTCCAGCGCCAGGTGTCGGCAGGAAACGATTCGCGGGGGCCAGGGACTCCCATTTCTCATCCGTAACAGGTGGCATGTCACGAGGGCACCCTGAGACCTGCCAGAGACCAGCGGGCCCTGAAAAATGACCGTTACCTTGGCTTTGTGCCGCCCCCCCCCCCATCCTTCATCCAATCGAGTTATCGATCGGTGGGTCATGGCTTCTCACGAAAGGTCACGGCAGCGTCTGAGGCAGGACCCCACAAGGGAATGCCCCCATCCAGCCTGGGAAAGCAGCGCACAGGGCACCCCCCTGCAGCCCTGGTACCCCTTCCACTTCAAAGCCCAGGGCACCCCCCAGAGACCAAGGATGGCCAGGACTAGAAAGGCCTTGGGGAAGCCCTGAGTTTCCCCAGGGTTCTGGGGGTTTCCCGAGTTCCCATCCCGGAGTCCCTCCCTGCTGAGCTTTTCCTCGACCAGAACAGCACAGTGCAGGGAAACTGAGGCCGGGGTGCAGGTCAGCTTGCCCGGTGAGAAACGCGTGTAAGCCTAGGCCCAGGGCTCAGAAGAACCTTCCCCAGCACCAGGTGAATCTGACTCCCACCAGCTCCCAACCGATTTCCTTGACCCCAATCGCATCCGAGGGATATTCCCAGAGCAACCAGTGCCAGCCTGGGCCCTGCCAGCCAGCAAAGGTCCTGCCAGGGGGCTGGAGCGATAGTACAGCGGGGAGGGTTGTTTGCCTTGCACGCGGCCGACCCAGGTTCGATCCCCAGCATCCTATATGGTCCCCTGAGCACCGCCAGGAGTCATTCCTGAGTGCAGAGCCAGGAGTAACCCCTGAGCATCGCTGCGTGTGACCCCAAAAAGCTAACTAAATAAATAAAAAGATCCTGCCGGACCTTCTGTTCCAGCCGTGAGAGTGAAGCCAAGGAGCGGGCAGAAAGAAGCAGAGAGGCTGGGAGCGAAGACAAGGAAGCCGAGGGTTTAAAGGGCAGCGGTTCAGAAGCGGCCGGACAGGAGCGCCAAGGAGCCAGAAGAGATGCGCGAAGCTCAGGTCTCGCCAGGCGAGTTCAAGGACGGAAGGCGAGAGGGAGTGATGGGGAGCAGCAGGAGAGGGGGTCCGGTCCGGGGCGGGGCAGGAGGATGGAGCAAGGCAGGGCCTGGTGGGTGGGGTGGGGGGGGCGGCTCTGGACACAAGGACACAGAGACTCAGCGACAAGCCCCCCGAGCCTGGAGGCGCTTGCAGTCACGCTGAGAGGCCGGAACAGGGCTTGGGCCAGGCCAGCAGACATGGACGGGGAATGGGGGAGAACTGGATTGTGAACGGGACGTCGGGCTGGAGCACCCACAGGCTGGTGGGGCGCGGGGAGATGCCGAGGAGGGCGGCGTGGAGTCACTGCCCCACCGAAGCCTGTGTCTGAGCCCCAGGGCAGGCTGCAGGGGGGAGGCGGGGCAGGCAGGGGCCCAGCTCCCTCGAACATCCCAAAGTGGAGCTGTGAAGTGGGTCCTCAGCTCTGCCTGCCCGGAGCCTGCAGGGAGCTGTCACAGACGTGGAATTTCAGGCATGAGCCGCGCGACGGAGGGTGGACTGAGGGGAGAGTGGGGGCTGGCCAGGAGGGCGCCCCAGCGGCCGGAGGTTACGAGAGGGCACGCACCGAGGTGGAGGGGGAGGGTTACGAGGGCGAGGTCAGGGCCTGTGGGCGCCCGGCTCTGCTTGTGCCTTGCCTGCTGCCCGAAGGTGCTCCTGCCCTCTGCCCGAGGAGGGTCCGTGGTCGGGGACCCAGAAGATTCTGCAGAGACAAAACCCCCAAGAGTGGGGCCGGGGCCACAGCAGGGAGGGGGGCACCTGCCTTGCACGCAGCTGACCTGGATTCCATCCCTGCATCCCATAGGGTCCCCCAAGCACCACCAGGATTCCTGAATGCAGAGCCCCTAGCATCACTGGGTGTGCTGCCTCCCTGTGCCCCTACGTCTCCCCCCCACAAGACTCAGGAGAGCGGGAGCCATGGGAGCTTGTATGAAGGACAAGGGCAGGGCGTGAGGAGGAGGGCAGAGATCCGTGATCGGAAAAGGATGGAGAAATCCAGGGAAAAGGAACAGCATGCCTGGCAGCGAAAGGGGGCCATGATCCATCAGTGCTGGGGGTCCTGCCTCGGGCTCAGGGGTCCGGTGGTCTCAGTGTCCCCGTTCAAGCCCCTCCGGCTGCAGCAGGACCTTCTCTCACCCCGTATAGCAGGGCCTGGGGGCACCCCCTCCCCTCCCTCAGACACCAGCACCCTGGACCACCACTCTGCCCAAGGATGCTGGGTTCCATCCGGTCCAGATGCCAAGTTAACTGGAGGGGAGGGTTGGGGGGGGGGTTAGTGATGGGGGAGGGGGGGAACCACAGTGACAAGATGAAGAGATTTTTAACAGCTTCTGGCGACCAGCCCCTTGGCGCCCGTTTATATTTTCTCTCTCTATTTTAATTAAATATCTGTCACTCACACACGCCTGCTTGCTGTTCCCTCCTTGGCGGCATGCGGCTCCTTACAGACTCAATTAGCAGGGGTCTGGGGAGGAGCACTGGGGCAGGAGCACTGGACTGGGAGCTCCTCTAGAGAGAAGCACTGGGCTGGGCGCACTGGGAGCAGGGAGCTCCAAACTCTACTCCTGGCTCTGCTGTGAGTAGGAAGTGTGACCTGGCGAGCCCCTCCGGCTCTCTCTCGGCAGAGTGGAGGGAGCCTGGCCGCTGCCTTCTGCCCGGACCCATGTCCCCGCCTCCCTGCCCTGCCCGGGCTTCCCCATTTCCCATGCAGGTCCGCTAGAGCGGCGGTTGCCTGAAGTCCCCCTGGAACTCTCATCACCATATGTTCCAAGAGTAATTATCTCCCAATTTCACCTTCCAATTGCATCTAAATTTAACTTTCATTCCTGGGTGCCTGCTGGAACGTCCAAGCCAAGCCCGCGGATTTCTAATTAGGCTGCGGAGGCGCGAGGGCGGTGGTCTGCAGCGGGGCGGGGTGGGAGGGGAGTGGGGGGGGAGACGGGGCAGCGGGGAAGGCCACGGGCTCGAACCCCGGCGGAAGATGCACACGTGTGTCTGGGAGAGGCGCCTTGGCCTCTCAGAGCGGAGCCCAAATTTCTTTCTTGGTAAAGACACGCCCCCTTTGTTCCTGGGGGCCGGGCAGGGAGAGGGGGGCCGGGGCCTTTTGAAGGCCACGGGCCGTTCACGCATGTTCCCTGTGCATCCACAGATCGACCACAGCAAGCGGCCAAACCGCAGGGTCTGCGTTTCAGTCCCACCCCGGGCCCTGGCTGTGCTGCCCACCAGCCACCTGCAACCTCCGTCTTCCTCTATAACGGGAGACAACCGGACCAGGGGGGGCAGCCTCACCGGTCAGTATTAGCGAGCGCTTCCCGGCCCTCGGCAAGCTGGAGAGACGCTTCCCGGCCCTCCGCAAGCTCCAGCTCATCAGGAAAGTCAATGGCCCAGGCCTCCCGGTCCCCCATTTTTCAGACACGGAAACTGAAGCTCGGGGATAAGTAACTGGAGGCAAGTTCCCATTCACGTGTTGATGTGGGCGCGACAGTGTTCGACTGAAGCACGTTCGCGCGTCACCCCACCCGTGGTTCGCGGACGAGTCCGTGGAGAGAGAATGCGGTGGTTTCTGACATCTGGTTCCACGGAACCCCAGTGCCCAGATCTCAGGAGATCCACGGCACAGGAAAAAGTGTCAGACGCCAGTCCCAGCCTTCACGGCACCGGCCAGGAAGGACTTTTGGGGTGCGCTGGTGGCAGAGGACGAGATGGAAGTAACCCGAGCGCGGCCACCCCGATTTCCTGGGGCCCAAAGTCTCCCGGGTCTCCCTCCATCTCCCCCCACCCCACCCCAGCTCTCCGAGCAGGCCGGGAAACGGTGGGAAAACTGGACCCGGTCTCACCATTGTTTGAGCGCGCGTTTTATTAGGAGCGGAGGAAAAAGTGCGCTTGGCTCTGTCCAGGCCGGGCCGGACGGAACAGGCAGGAGGCGAACTTTTCCCTCCAAGGAGTGGCTGGCGGGACGCAGGACCCCGCGCCAGCCTCTTCCCTTCCCACAGCGTGGCACCCGTTCTGCCACAACCCTGCCCCCGACTCCCAGTCCAAGCACAGGGGTCCGCCCGCCTGGGTCCTGGGAACTGGGAGCCGGCCTTGCCCCCTGCAGGTTCCCAGAGGGGCTTCTTTGTGGGGGTCGCTGTGGCCACTGCACCACCCTCTGCACCTCAATCCCAAGACAATGACTTTGCTCATTGAAAAAAAATTTTTAAAGAACCCCCACCCCCACCCCCCACGAACACACACCGGCTCACACACACAGCAGGATGCGGCCCAAGACAGCCAAAATGGTGGCTTCCTGTTTCTTTAGGGATGTGTGTTTTGGAGAAAGCCAGACAAGGGTGTTGGTCAGGGAGGGGCTGCCCTCGCCCAGGCCAGGGGAGCAGAGCCGGGGAAGGCGCCCCCACACTTCCCAGCCAAAGCGGGGTGACTCTGTGAGGGAACTTTGCTGCTGGAGGGGGGCTGAGAGCGGGACCGGGCCTCGGTCACCCCATCTGTTCAATGGCCCTGCAACCAGGCCGAGGGACTCTGCGCCCCGGGGAACCCGGGCTGCAAGGGCTCATCCCCCGGGCGGAGCAGGGAGGGCTGGGAGGGGACCCCCGAGGGACTGCAGGGGACCAGGGACGGCGGGCCCCCCTCCCGCAAGTGGGCTGAAGGGGGGAGGGGGTGCAGACACAAAGAGGGCCCCGAGCCAGGGCCCGTGAGTGAGGGAGGGAGGGGTGCGCAGGGGTGAGGCCCGAGCTGGTGTGGAAAGGGTGCGGGGTGGGGTGGGGGACTGGGCGAGAGGGGTGGGGGGCTGCGGGGGAGGGGGAGTGCAGACCCTGCGCTGCTCTTCACTCCTGGGGAGTGAGTTCCAAGTGTCGGGGGGGCGGCTCTGGGGTCAGCCTCCGTCCGTCCGTGCCGGGTCCGGGGCGCAGGACAAGGCCCGCGCGGTCCGGGGCGCGTCCGCTGAACCGGGCGCGGGCCGGGGTCGGGGTCGGGGTCGGGGGGGGGGGGGTGGCCGCGCCCGCGCTGGGGTCCGGGTGGGGGGGAGCGGCCGGGCGCGTCCCTGAGGTCCCGGGCGGGCGGGGAGCGCGCGCGGGGTCGGGCGCACCTGGCCGGGCGCGGCCTCGCCCAGACCCGGACCGAGGGGGCGTCCCCGAGGCGGGGCGTCCGGGCCGGGGCCGGGGCCGGGCGGTCGGGGGCGCGGCCGCGCGGGGCCCCCTCACCTGCTCTGTTCATCTTCCAGCGCGCCGAGCCGGGCCCGGGGCCGCCGTCGGTCCGGTCCGCGCGTCCGTCCCGGCGCCTCACTCCACGGCCGCCCCGCGGGGCCCGCACCCCTGCGCCCGCCCCGCCCCCGGCGCGCGCCGGACTCCGCGGCGCGCAGGGCAAGTGGGGGCGCGGCGGGGCGGGCGGGGCGGGGAGGGGAGGGAGGGGAGGGGGCGCCGGGCCGGGGCGGGGGCGCGCGTGGGGCGGGGGGCGCCGGGCGCGGGGCCGGGGAGGGCGCGGGGAGGGGGCGCGGTCCGGGCGGGGGGCGGGAGGGGGCGCGCCGGACCGGGGTCCGGGACGCCCGGCGGGAACGGGGCGCCGGACTGGGATTGGGGGGCGCCGGGGGGAAGGGGCGGAGGCGCCGGACCAGAAATGGGGACGCCGGGTGGGGCGGGGGCTGCGGGCCGGGTGGGGGGGGGGGCTCCGGGCGCGGCGGGACTGGGCGCGGGGCGCGGGGCGCGGGGCGCGGACGGGGCGCGGGGTGGGCGCGGCGCCTCCCCGACGTTTCCTCCCGGCTTCTGCCTCTTTCCTTTCTGCGCTGTCAGGCACCGGCCGGGCGGGGGGCGCGGCGGCCCCGCGCACATTTAAAGGGGCCGTGGCCGTGCGGACCGAGGGAGCCCAGGGAGCCGCGCGCGCGCGCCCGCGCTGCGCTCGGGGCGGGGGTGGGGGCGGCCCGCTGGGCGGCTCGGCCACTCCCGGGCCCCTTCGCGCGGGGAGCCCGCTGGCCTTTCCCGGTCCACCTCGGCCTGTCCTGCTCTTGTCCGGACTCAGCCCTGCGCAGGGGTGAGCACCGGACTAGGCCCCCCCTCTCCGCCGCCACCCCGGTTCTCGCCCCCCGAAACTCCGCCGGGGACAAGGCAGCTGGCGTGGCACACCGGGAGCCCGCGGAGTCGCTCCCCAGGGTGATTCGCGCCGGGATGGGGACACTGCCCGGCCGGCGGCTGGGAGCTGTTAGAATCTCGCACTCTCCCAGACTTACAGCTCAGAAATCCTGCGGTCTTCCGGCATTTCTGATGCAAAGTTTGGGGGTGTTTAGGGGTTTTTTCTGTTTGTGCTTTTGAGGTGAGGATCCGCACAGGTGGTGCTGTGGATGCTGGTGCTCAGAGACCCAGCCCAGCGGTTCCCCACCCCCCACTGAAGTTGGAGAGTGAGTCATCCAGGAAGGCGCTTGGCGCGCAGGGGTGACATTGGAAGGGACCCCTGAAGGAGGAAGCCTTTCTGCTCGGAGACCGCGGGCTGGCGTCCAACCCACCCGCTCTGTGCCGGGCACCCTCGGTGCCCGGACTCCAGCTCCCGGCTAGTGGTCCCAGCTGCCATCCTGCCATCCCTAAGCAGAGCTCTGCCACCTGTGCAGGTGCTTCTGGGAAGAGTGGACCCTGAGTGAAGAAGGTTCTAGCAAAGGAAAGGCCTGCCGGCTGCACCAGCCAGGCAGACCTGTACCCCCACCCCAGGCTCCTGGGGCAGGTGGACAGAGGTGTGGCTGTCCTGGGAGGAGGTGCAGGGGAGGGTCAGGGAGCTTGCTGCCAGGGCCATTGGAAAGGGGAGCTGGAGACCTTGTTGTCTGTGGTATTCACCTCTCCGGCAGCCCCTGCGCCTCTGGGCTGAGCTCTGAGCTTACCTGTTTGCTGTTCCAGCCGACATCAAGTCCTTCCCATTGCCCGTTAGAGAGAGCTGAGGTCCCATTAGAGTGGCCCTACACTACCAGAGGCCACCTTCCTGCCTGGCTGGGCCTGGGAGCTAAAGATGTTAGCGGCGGCCTGTGGGGAAGGGAGTCCAGCTCCGAATTCATTCACACCATGATGATGGGTCCATGAACTGTGTGGAGGTTAGGGGGGTGAGTGGCACGTGGAATCCCCTTCTCCCCACCATCCCTTTCTGTCCATCCAACGGGAGGAAAGACCCAGAAATGAGCCCTTGCTGGACTGGGGGGCAGAGCAGGACCAGGCAGCCCACCCTCCAGGGTAGCCCAAGCCCCTCCCTCACAGCACATCCAGCCCCTGATGGGCTGAGACTCACGTGGCCCCATGGCCGGGTCCAGACTGTTGTGCAGCATCACTTTGGTTGTCTGGAACTGAAGGTGGCAGAGGATGGGACCATGACTTTGCCCAGCAAGGCAGCAAGTTTCCAAGTGGACCTGAGGCTCTCACAGCCTTGGTTGAGTGTCCATGAAACCTAATTCCCCGTGGTTCTGCCCTGGACCACGTGAACCAGACAAGCAGGTGTTGTCACTACCTAGACCCCACACCCGAGTGCTCTAACTCGGTCAGTTTGGGGGAGCAGAACCTTCTTAGAAAGGCAGAACCCCAGCCCACACCCTCCGCCCCTGCCTCCAGACCTACTAAACCAGAATCTACATTTTATTTTAGTTTTTAGTGGAGCAAGATAAGCGTTATTGAACAGAATTTACTTAGATGAAGGGGAGAGAAAGAGGGAATTCATATACAGGAGAGAACATGGGCTGCTCCAGAGTGAGAAAAACAAAAAGCCACAAGCAAAGACAAAACGGAGAAGACACGTCACATCTTCAAGGGAGAACGTGCGCTTGACGGAGCAGGACTGTGCATTTTCTGACAGTCTGTACTCCAACTGCAAAAACGTTCCTCCACGGGGCTGGAGCGATAGCACAGCGGGTAGGGCATTTGCCTTGCTCACGGCCAACCCGGGTTCGATCCCAGCATTCCATATGGTCCCCCGAGCACCACCAGGTGTAATTCCTGAGCTCGTGAGCCAAGAGTAACCCCTGTGCAACACCAGGTATGACCAAAAAAGAAAAAAAAAAGCGTTCCTCCGTATCCTGTTCTTTCCTGAGCGGCTGTTCTGCCTAAGTATAGAGAAGTAGAGGAAAGACCTTACACTTTGCCCAGGTTCTTATGGGGCTAAGACTTTCTCCCCTGGCCCGCGGGGCTCCTGGTCCATGCCCGCTGCCCCCTGACCCTAGAGAGAAGGGCTGCAGGGAGCTCGGTGCTGCCCAGGCTACTGGGTGTGCTGTCAACAGAAGGCACTTGTCAAACATGCATGCTGCAGGGACAGTCACGCTGAGGTCTGACACAGACTTCAGGAGGTGAAGCTCTTGTGCTGCACCCTTATGAAATATCTCAGAGTTTTCACGCTCACCAGATAATCTCATAGACCTAACCAGGCCCGTGGGTTTTAATTGGCTTGATCTTTTATTGCTGGATTTGATTTTAGGCCCCATGATTTACCATATGGCGGAGGGGGGTTCTGCATGTAATGTTTTAACAACACCACTCTCCGCCAACCCCGCCTTATCCCTTCCCTCTGCCTCTCTTCCCTCTTTATCTTTGACTGCCCATACTATAGAATTCTGTCTTGCCCACTTTCAGGCCAGGGCCTTGAGGGTGCCTCCCTTTCAGCAACCCAGCGACTGGATTTTAGCCTTCTTTTGCTTTTTTGATCACACCCGGCAATGCTCAGGGGTTAATCCTGGCTCTGCACTCAGGAATTACTCCTGGCGGTGCTCAGGGGACCATATGGGATGCTGGGGATCAAACCTGGGTCGGCCGCGTGCGAGGCAAACACCTTACCCACTGTGCTATCACTCCAGCCGCTGGATTTTAGCCTTTAACTAACGGTTTCATCTCTGAGCTGCCACCAAAGCCTTCAACCTTCTGCCTTTTGTGGAAAAAAACTGGGGCATCCACCACGGGAGCAATGCTTCAGACAAGCTTCCAAAGATTTAGGGGTGCCCGAGAGGGCAGAGGTGGGAGTGGAGGGGCAGTGGAGGTGACACAGGGCTGAGAAGAGGTGAAAGCAGTCAGAGGCCACGGGGGTGGGGGGCGGAGGTGGAAAGGGGGTGGAGGGGACGCAAGCGCTGGTGCAGGTGGGTGATGGGGGAAGCATGGAGGACACGGAGGAAGTGATGGGGCGTTGCCATGGCTTCGGGGGTTGGAAATGATGGAGGTGGTGCAGTGGAGTGAGGCGGTGGATGAGGCAGTGGTGGAAGAGGGGACGTTGGCCGGAGTGATGGACCGAGATGGCAGTTGGTGGCGCTAGTGGAGGTGATGGGAATGTAGGAGTAGAGTGACAAATGACCACGTGCTTCAGCGTTTGAAGCGAAAAAGAAAATATATCCCAAACACGGGACTTCAGTTGGGGTAGCAGCAATACAACTCAAATAGCCTAGGGCCCCAGGTGGAGATGAGGCTCTGGAAATCCAACCAATGGCCACGAGTCCCCTTTTGCCTGAGGAAGGACAGGAAGGGGCTTCTGGGCTGGGCTAAACCATCCGCCCTATCGAGTTGGGGATTTGATGCTCGGCACAGTCTCCTGGAAGAGACCAGCGCACCCGCGGCCGTTGGGGAGAACGCAGGTCTGAACCCGCCAGCTGAAACCACATGTTGTGTGGAATGAGGGGCCATGACGCCCAAACGCTCGCCCCTTTGTTTGCGTTTCCTCCTCGAAAGAGAAAATGGAAATGAAGGACCATCAGGCTTTGCGAACATCCGGGCTGGTCTAGGGGGTGGGCATGAAAACGAGGCAGGGACAGTCTCTGAATGCGTGTGTGTTGGGGGGGGAGGGACATGCTGTCGCTGCCCACCCAGGGCGCGGCCTCCCTCTCTCCTGTTCCAAACTTTACACAGGTGCACTCCACCCACCGATGGGAACATCCCAGACTCACACCTGGGAAAGTGGAGGCCCTTGGAGGGGCGTCACTGGCCCTCCACTGACTTCCAGATGGGACTCAGAAGTTGAAACAACCAGAAGCCGGAGCCATTGGACAGCAGGGAGGGCACTTACCTTGCACACGGCAGACGTGAGTTCCATCCCCGGCATCCCATAGGGTCCCCCAAGCACCACCAGGTGTCAGAGCCAGGAGAAACCCCTAAATGACCAGCTTCTGCTATTTCCCGCATGATGGGCAAAAAGCTGGGCTCGATTTTCACATTTCAGACCCCTCCCTGTCTGGTTCTTCCTCTGAGCAGACAGCCATCCAGGGAAGGTCACGTGGAGAAACTGAGGCCCAGGGAAAGTGCCAGAACCAGCGAGGCCCAGAGCAGCATCACCTGGAGCCTTCTCCTGGGGGCCTGCCGGGGACTGGCCCT